TAAACACAGCTCATTTTGCCGCCACACAGCGTTGGTTGCAGCCTCAGCACTCAGCTGAGCTGTCCACTGGCTGCCGCTGTCCGCCGGACGTCAGACCCAGATCAGCGGCGTCCTGAGCCTCCCGCAGCCCAGTGAAACCCCGCAGTGGACCGCACCGCTGACCCCGATCAGCCTAAACCCCGGCACCGCCCGCCCGGCGGCGCGCGCCGGTAGGGACCCGAGGAATCCTCCAGCGGGGGCTCCTGGCCACGCCCTTGGCATCAGACCGCCTGGCAGACCGCCCCGGGCGTCTGGCAACTGGCCAGCGGCCTGGCAGCCGGCGGCTGGACCTGACAGGGAGGCAGGGCGCCCGCCCCCGCACTCAACCACCGGGCCTAGTCTGTCTTATACCTGCTGAGGGAGGAAGTGAATACGACAAGGGAATCGATGATGATGACTGGAAGCTGGAGAACTGTGTTATGTTCTACTAAAATAATATCAAAATGTTAAGAAGTCCAGAAAAATACAGGTGCGCAGTAATTGACATCCGCTAGTTGGCTCAAACACGTGTACATACGAGTACGTGTGGGTACGGACGTAGATCACATGCCCACATCACGTGTCCGATATTGTGACACCATTTAGGACCTAAACGCTTGACACTAAATTTTACCTTGTACATGGAATTCCACGAGCGGAGGTAGGAATCCGAACCCATTGAGTAGGTATGTCCGCTTGGCAGCACACTGAATTCGCTCACATTATGTAACGCCCCATAGTTGTCGTTACATAAGTTCAATTTTCATGTTTCATAGCGACATCGTTACCATGTTGAGGCACAGCCAATCGCTTCCTGATTGGTCTCCACTGCCACTTAATGTCTTGCTATAATACGGCATAGCGCTGCCCACCCTCGTATGATTGCCACGGCAAACCGCACCGCCACAGCAAACCGCACCCACACACCACTGTTCCCGTTCAGACCAGCGTTCACCAGATAACACGGCCGACATGAGTCCCGGTGTCCCGCCGAGACACCCGTTAGTGGGAGCGGTGTCTCCGGAGCTCCGTCCCCGGTGTCTCAGCTGAGACACCCGTCAGTCCGTCACCGGTGTCTCAGCTGAGACAACCACCAGTCGGAGCGCTGTCTCCGGAGCTCCGTCCCCGGTGTCTCAGAATTCAGACATTACAAGAGACATTACCGGTAATAACGCGGCGGCTTCAGCTGATGTTGATGAAGGAGCTCATTTCGGCGCGAGCACGGCGCTATATGGGACCAGGTGCCGACCGAAATGGTGGGCTACATTAGCGCCAGTCGCCGGTACGACAGGAAAATAGTAATGAACGTCAAATGCAAGAAACTAACGAGAAAAAAGTGAGACCAAGAAACAGGCTCAATTGGTTGAGTGTTCAATGAGAAATTGTTTTTTTTTTTTAAGTCCAACAAAATCCGTGAAAATATTGTCCAAGCTTTGCAGAATAATATCTGAAACTTTTGTTATGAATCATTGCAAACCTTTTTTGCTGTTTATTAAAATGGCAGTTGTCAATAAAATAATTATGAAGATAAAGCATTTACAAAAGGCCGACTGAGAGGTCAAAAGTGACTGGCAGACGTAATTGCAGCCTTCTTTATCTGCTCAAAGCTTGTAATCGGGAAGGTTTTACTTTTTACTGCGCAAGTCAGGGGAAGACACAAAGCAATTCAATCTTGCCAGGTCCCAAATGAGACGTGTCAATGAAAAAAGCGGGTGATCTGAGGGCTCCCTCCGCCCCCGGCCACCTGTTGCGCCGCTCCCGGCCGGTGACGCTACTCACCCCCAAGCTGCCCAGTGAGGGGAACTTTCTCTTCAGGTAGCTGCTCATCTCGGATCGGTAAGTTCGTCGTTCCGGATATGCCCGGCAGTGCGTCCAGCGCAGACGTCACTGTCTGTTGGTCGATCGTTCGCCGGCGGCCGGCGGTCGCCCCGCGAGCCCGTCCTCTCGTCCTCGCGTCCTCACACTCACAGCACCCCGCTCAGCACCCCGCGCCGTGAGCCACCAGACCTGTCCTCCGAGCACCGGAGACTTGGAGCGCTCAACAGCGGTCGAGCGGCCGCGTCTCGGACCACGAACACCTCACCACCGTCTCACAACGGTCCCGTCTCGGTCTGTGTCGCTATCGGCGCGCTCGGCGACCTCTCGGCTCGCGGGGTCGGCGCACACCTGGGCTCGCACCGGCCGCCTCGTCGCCAGAAACTGAGACCGTCGCCGGCGACGAGGGCGTCCGTGTCGGCGGCGGCGCTGTCTCGGGCCGCGAGCCAACCCCGCGGCAGCGGCGACCGCCGGGAGCCGCCGCGGGGCACAGCGGACATGTCACGGCGTCGAAAACGACGAGAAACAGGTGCGGATTTAATAGCCATAAATATTGGTACAACAGTTCTCTAAGAGCACATCGGGTGAGACTGTCCAGTTGAGCGGCGTCGGTTTGAGAACAGGAGCACCCTCAGCTCGCAGAGCGGTGCGGGATGCGCCCCTGGCACGTGTGATGAGAAATCGCCTATTTTTAGGCGCACCGCCGCCTCCTCCGTCGCCGCGGGGCCGACGTTGGGGCGGCCGGCCACGGGCAGGGCAGGGCGGGCAAAAACAGCAGCCGACAAGACCGGGCGGCCGGCCGGCGTGAGGAACAGGCCCGGCTGGCTGTCAGGAGCGGCTGTCAGCTGTCAGATGACAGCTGACTGTCTAGCTTAGCCGGCCACCGAACCCCACTGCAGCTGGCTGGTCAGACTCCAGACGGCAGACTGGCAGTCTGGACAGTTTCGGGAAACAAGGAGTCTGAGTAGTTCAGAGAAGACGGCAGAATTTCAGGCAGCCGCAAAGCATTAGTCATTGTCGTAGCTGTGGTGAATTTAAATGGACCATTCCACGGACGCTGTCTCATTTCTCAAATGCTCGCCTCAGAAAGGCTCACCCTAGCCGAATTCACTAAGTCAGACCTGACGTCACAAAGGCTCATGAGTTGAACTCACGCCGTCTCAGCATTGAGCCGCCGACCCCTAGGGAAGGGACGTTGAGCCACCACGGGACCGCCAGCCCGGTCAAGCGCGCCACACTGGCCGCAGCTCCGCCGTTTCTGTCGCCAGCAGAGTACGCATACACTCAGGGCCCACCTGTGATCCACCCGCTGACACCTGTACCTTTACCGCCTACACGCCCCGACACATGTGCGGTCACCACCTGTTCACAAGCGTCGGCATGTGCACGGAAAGAACTGAAACGATTCGGTGCAACGAAAAAAGCACGCGATAGACAATTACGAGCTGGCAGGACCAGTGGTTTCCTAATTCAAAACAGTTACAGGAAAACAAATCACGAAAGGCAGTGGGTATCAACGATACCAGGCAAATGACCTCCTAAAACAAAAAACTGTTGTAAATACTTTGACAGCGAGAAGTTTTCCCCGAGATTGAGCCACTCCGCGGTAGTCTTCAGACCCGGCTCACAGAATGTTTACAAGTTTTCCCAAAGTTTGGTAAAGTAAGTCCCTTTATGATGGATAGGGGCGTTGTTTGTGAAGCCACCTCTCTCAATGTCAGCTCCCTAAATACCCGGATTTCTATGCTGCATCACTGGTCAAACAGCACACCCAGCTACACACGCCAGCCGACATGTTTGAACCGCTCCACCGCGAGTATGTTTTTAAGCTAACTGTACTCGTTATCTCCAGAAGCCGGCAGCCACTCCCTGAGGTAGCTCTGGAGCTCGTCAGCCGAGTTAGCCGGAGTGTCTGGAGGGGCCGACTACGCCCCCATGCCGGTCATACTTACACCCAAACAGCACACACCGGCATTCGCAGTCCGTTAAACCTGAAACGTCTGTATGCACCGAAGCTGACACACGACTTTGCACTGCACACCCTCAGCGCCCAGGCTCACTCGTGTTAATTCAAAGCATCCAACCAGCCAGCTGATGAGAATCATCGCAGATGAGAATCGCACTCGCAGATGAGAATAATCAGCTGCCTGCTAAAGGCTATTTGATGATGCCATCATTTCGAATGTGGAGAGAATCAATCATCAACAGCATCGGCCAGTCATCATCAGACCCGTCCCTCCCCTTACCCCGCCCTTCAGCCCCTCCCAGCCACGCCCCTCGGGCGGGCGGTCCCCGAGGAACTAGTTCTGCCATCTAGGGAGTCGACGACGAACTAGGGGCACGACTGGTTGACCCACGGGATCCCAATGAAACCCACTAGCAAACGCAACACGATGTCAGGGAATCGTGGAGATGAAGGTAAACAGGGAAATGGTTGTCGAACCTCAAAATGAGACTCATAATGTTTGCCAGACTGCAACAAACAAGCCTGAGCACACAGTCATCCAATGGGATGGCTGAAGCACCAGACACGGACCTCTATATATGAAATCTTTTGAACTGAGCGCCCTTCCAACGTAGTAATGTGACCGCCTATCACGACGACGGACGATTAGCGCCTAGTCTCCACACAGCCCGAGGGTCACGCCACCGCTTCTCACAGATACCTAATGCCCACCACTACTCGGCTCCACAATCCCTGGAGTTTGGCGGACAGTTACAGGTGAACGGTATTACGGCCTGTGCCACTCTCCCGTCATCCTCACAGGGCCTTCACAGCCGTGAACGTGAAATTCACCAACGGGTTCGTTACCCTGCACCAGCTAACAGGCTGGCGGCACCGCGAAATGACCACCGGTCGACTCATAGCGACAGCCTGTTTCCAGGAAAATGGAACCGCTTTGTCACGAATATGAGCCAGAAATTACAGAAGCCAGGAGGAAATTATGCGCCGTACGCGACACGTCAGAGCGTCAGCGAAAACGTCAACCAGGTGACATAATGTAACGTCATTTGGAAATTTGGGCACCAACGCCTAGGGTACACCAAGGAGCATCATGACACTGGGGGAGGGTCTCATCAGTCCAGCATTAAATAGTTCCATCAGTCCAGCATTAAACAGTTCCGTTCACAGAACTTTCAGACGACATTTCCACCGAAGCACTTACCCGAAATGAGAAGCTGCGTCCCAGTGATTCGGTCATTTTGGTGAACTCCCCTTCCATATTGTTGCACTAAGAATTTGTCCCTTAGCGTCACGCGTGTTTTCGACAATGTTCGTCGATTGTTTTGTTTATGCACTCAAAATGTCGATTCGTTCGATCGCAAGTCTTTCGCTCACATACATATATCACGTCACACCCATTTTTATTTTGTTTTTTGCTTTTTAGCACATTCACCACCGCAACATTCCGCTGACACACTTATTCAATTTAACAATTCTTTTTTTTTGTGTTTTCACTTTTTCTTCAATTCACGTGCCACCCAATCAGCGTGGATTCCCTCCTGGACGACCACTATATCCACCAATCACAGAGGATCTCGCTGCGTCTCCACCAAGCAGCGGGTCCGGCGGCGGCGTCCGATGGAGGACGAGGGAGGCCTGCCCACGCCTTTCCTCAGAGCGCCGCACAGCCCGAGTGAGGACGGCCGCCGGGGGCGCCGGTTTAAACCCCTGTCCGGCCCCTCCCACCGGCGGCAGGGTGGACGTCACCGTCCGCGGCGTCACCCGCCCCCGGAGCTCCGGACCGACCCCTCCCCCCGGCCAACGCCGTGAACATCCCACTGCATTGCTGAGAAAGGTGCCCCGCCAAATATCTCCTTGTTGGTAAGCTAGTTCACTTTAGAATCATTCACTGGGGAATTTATGCCCCCATATCTCACTTTATTCCACTTCCTTCCTCGGCTTCTTCTCTTCCCCTTTCTCAGCTTTTTTCCCTCTCACAACCCCTTTCCCTCCTCGCCGTTCGGTGCCCCTATCGGTACCCTATTCTCGTGGACCCCATTCCCAATGTCACTCCCTTTCATTTTCCCTTTCCCTACCCTCTCTCCCGTTCCTTGCACAGCCCCCCCCCCCCCCCCCCGGTCCGGTGCCCCGTCTGTCTCGTCGCCGGCCTGTTTAGACGGTTCCGCCGTGTTTATTTGACCAGTCGTACCGTCCCAGTCATGGGCCTTGGACTATTTTCGAGGCGGCACGGAGGCAGAAAAGTCGCCCGACCGTTAGCCGCCGCCAAATGACCCATTGTAGTGGCGCGGTTATAGAAGCTGGGAGTAATTAACCAAACGGTGCGGACTTAATGAACAATTAGACGTTATGTCATGTACTCACTTCCAGGCTCAGCGACTGACTGAAGGAAAACATAAAGCCTGGATGTATTTAGGTGCTCACACCTATTCAGGTGAAAAAAATATCCATTGTGACCACTAGACGTAATAATGTAACTTGACTGATACAATGATGTTGGGCAACAATACTGGCTTGGACTCGCGAACAGAGAAACAAAAACGAATGCAATAAAATCATTTAATAGAAATACACGCTGATCTTTTGAGTGTGTTTGGATTTGAAAGGCGTACTCTTGAAAAAGGAATAAAGAAGAAAATATGATGAATAGCTGAACAGATGATTCAGAATTCCCCATTACCTTGTCTTTATCACCTCACCCATCCGTGTAATAAGCCTGTCTTTTCCACCCTACTGAAGCCCCGCCGGACCATGAATTTCCCAGTCCCGTCGTGAGGTCAGCCGCACTGGTCAGGTGATGAGTTTACCCACAAGCGTTGTCGGGGTGGCGTCAGCGCCCAGCGGCCCATAACTCGACTCAGCCGGGCCGTGACTCGAGTCGAGCGACTGGCGGACTCTGCCAGACTAGGTCCAAGTCATACCCGGTGGAGCGCTGAACTCGGCGGACTTAGGATCATTTGGACTTGGCATTGGCTGGACTCCCCCAGTTCGGTCCGATCAGAAGTCCACCCTGCACCCAGTGGCCGTGAAGGGGTGCACAGAAGCGGCCCGCTGCACGGCGCCGCGCTGATTTAATCAGACGGGTTTGCCATCAATTGGTTTTGGTTCGATTCTCCACATGACACCACAGCGCCGATGACAACTCTGCCAAAAGTTGCACCTCTACATTGCTCATTGCCCAATGCCCAACGCCTGTCCCCCTGGGGGTCGCACTTCCATGTGTCGCAGTCGGCTAACTGTTTGTGTTTTCGGCCGTCCAGCTATGTGGCCGGCGGTCCGGCCGTCCGTGGACCGTACCGATAAACAGCCGGTCGGTGCAGCGAAGGGCGGTCGCGGGGATACAGGAACTGAGCGGGCAGGGCTGCGGTTATAGGTAGGTAGTGCCGCGCGGCATTTCTTTATAACGATATCGTATTATGTCAAAAATCATTTCTGAAATAGTATACAATCAAGAAAGCATTGGAATATAATGCCAATAAATATGACTAAATCAACAGCAAAACCAAAATGTGACTCAATTTTAGCACCTGTTCCACAATTGCATTCCACACTTTTTATCAAACCCACTCTCTAGTTACGCCCTTCATTTCCTCCCTAGCCTCTAGCATCCCAGCACAGTGCACAGTGCACACTGCACACCCAGCTCCAGTTCCAGTTATCCCCTACAGATCATCGATCGCGTGTTTCCCACCCCCAGCTCATCAAAACAGATCTCTGCTCGGCTGCCTCGGCTGAATTCCGTACAAACACCGCTGGATTCCGTACAAACACTGTTGAATTCCGTACAAACACTGCTGGATTCCGGCCTCCGGGAGTCTTAGTGACGCCGTCGGAGCCAGTGCGATGCACCGGGTCACTGCAGACAATGAAGACAAATAACCATGGAACAGAGCTTGAGTGGGTGAACACAGGGCTGATGGTGATAAATCCGAGTCCCAGTGACTCAACAAACGGCAGAGTTACAGTATGGATCAAATAATAAATCTGAAATGTTACAAATAAGGTAACAGCAACCGTACAGGACATAACGGAAATATCACTGAACTTAGGTTTTTCTTTAGAATGTGGAAAGACGTGGGTGAGGAAGGCTTCCTGCACTTCCTCTTTGATCAAAATCAAAGGACCTACAGAGGCTCCGTGCACGGCAGTCACCAGCAATAGAGATCACTTTCTCTCACATGCAAAGTAGCCTTGGGATTGAACTACTTATATCAGCGGAGCTGTATCGATAAGGCACATTCATACATTCGCTGCTCCAAATGTATGCAGGCGCTCACCAGACAGACATACATACATACGCGATCGCGCCGTCTGTGCAGAACGCTACCGGATGACGCAACGTCAGCAGAAGGTGACGCACGTCATCTCTGTGCGGTCCGAGCCACCGTTCAGGCAACAAGAACACTCCTTCCCGCCCCCGGCTCTTGCGGCCCCCACACACATAGAAATGATGCAATGCATTTGCATTCTGGTGTCGTATTTCTCGAGAAGACTCTCAATATTACAATGGAAACACAAGACATTATTGAGTAGGCTCGATAAGAGAGAAAGCTGAGAAGGTTAGCAAAATGTCTCCAAATAAATCACCAGCCAATACAGACGACCCAAGAGTCTGCCCTTTTAACCCTATTAGTGGCAGGGGGGGGGGGTGTTTTTATCCACCCCTCAGGTTTTTCGGGAATATCTCCGAAACTGCTGAAGCTACGATGCTGAAATTTTCTGACTTTTCCTAAAACTAAATTGGGCACATTCCCTGAAAATTTCAAGTTCATAACTTTACCAGGGGCGGCTCCAGAGCACTGGGAATTGGGGGTCCTATTCGTGAAGCGAGTCATTCGGGCGAAGATCACGATGCTGCACCAGTTTTACGAACAGTGAATGAAAGGTATCATGTGATAACATATACAAAGTTATTGTGCATCCTCTTTTGACACGTTTTTGCTATAATAGGCGGATCCAGGCGTCCAAAAAGGGGGGTTATTTTTTACCTCCCAACATAGGTGCCCTGACACCGCCTATGCATGACCAATACAATTTTAGTCGTTCTCTCATAAGAAAATTGTAACATAACAAGACCGTTGCCACCCTTTTTACAAACAGTACTAACAAAAACCTTATTTACTATACTTTTTGTGTACCCCCAATCTCAATGATCTGTATCCGCCTATGATTTTTGAAAATGCATATTTTTAGGATCCATGTGAATTCCTGGTTCATTCTCTATCGATCGGCAAAAGTTGCGTTAAGATTGGTTCAGAAACCTGGCCGTGATAAACAGTCTAAAATGTATCTGCAATTTGCCCGTTTTTACCCCCTTCTACCCCCCTATTGACATTTTTTATTTTTTTTTTAGAAATGTAGATCTCGTTGAGCGAAATCGAATGCCGTTTGAATTTTGAAAATCGGCCCGTTAGATCTCGAGATATCAAGGGGGGTCGTAAACAGCCCCCCCCCCCTGCCACTAATAGGGGGTAGCCAGGAGCCTGCCACTAATAGGGTTAAAGGGACTATCCCACCTTCTAAAATGTTGTTAAAACCAGTTAAATTGTGCCCGACTTTATAGATTGGATGACCAGGAACACGGTTCTGGCATTTATTTTTCATTAAACATCTTAGGCTTCCCATATTCCAAACACAAACTTTCAAATATGTGACGTCACAGCCCAAAATTACCTCCTTCCCCAGGCCACATTACTGTCATAAAGCTGATTCTTTTTACTCTGTAGGCACCACAACAAAGTTCAGACCAAGTTTTAAGCGATTTTTCAACGAACAAACCCATTTAAATCAGAATGACTAAACGAGGTGACGTCACACTAACGGTCGCTCCATGTTGAAGATAGGGCCTTGTACAAGGCCCATTTTCAAATGAAGAGAACGAATTTCTTCAACACCAAGAGGCCGCGGGGGTTGCAACCTAGATAGATAGTGGTTTTTGAACCTCGCCGCAAACTTGGCTATCTCAACTCAAACCCCATGTTAAAGGTGGGATAGTCCCTTTAAAGGAAAAGGGCCACCTTCGTGAAATATGAAGATATCGTTGTTTTTCATTTTGACATTATTATTTTTCATTTTCTTTTTAAAACTGGTGCCAGAAGTGCACAATTCGCGAAAAAGTATTTAAAACTATTTAACATATTGGTACTATGTTGATACTCTCTACGGCACCTACTGTATGATGGCATAGCGATGACGTCACACTCAAGCCAATCAGCGTTCAGAAGACAGACTCGTCGGATTGTGTCAGATAAGCTGATTGGTTAAAGCTGAGCTGGTTGGAGCTGATTGGTAAAAAACCAAAGCCTCGCCGCGGGTGGCTGTATTGTCGGATAAGAACGCATTTCTGGGATAAGGACGCATTCCTGGCGTATTTTCTTTTAAAATTGCCGATAACTACGAATGGAGGCCGAAATCGGCCGTAAGGAGGTAGAAAGATAGGTTTTCGGACACGGGCTACAAGATGGCTATCTCAGTTTCAGTCCCCATGTTAAAGGTGGCCATTTTCCTTTAACGGCGGCCGTAAATTTAAGACTCTCTCGGTACGCCTGTCCGCAAAAGTTCATCAGTTCTGTACAAACACCCTCTCCGTCTGGCCAGAGGTCCCCGGCCGCGGCGGGCGTGGGGCTGCATTCCAAACACTCCTCCCTCTGGGGTCGGAGA